TTCGCACAAAAAATGTGGGTGTAGTTATACTTTGTTTACAATTCACTAAAATATAATTGGGGTTCCATAATACCACCTTCTCCTCTAATTTTTTTTAGAAACGAGTTAAAAGAACGATCTAAACATAATAATAATAGATAATTTTCAAATTTCATATTTATTTTTGTATAAATTATGAAATTGTATAGAAGTTATATTGAAATTTAATATTCAAAAATAAATAATCTAGTTAATACATATTTTCCTTGACATCTTATATCAAAATTTGTAGAATCATTTCAAAAAAGTATGGCTAAGAAAAGGGGTTCCGAAAATAATTTAAAAATGAAAAGACACAATATTGAAATAATGGAAATGTACAATTGTTTGATTTATTTAATTACAAAATAATAAAAATATTTGCCATACATTAGAAAAAAAATTCAAAACAAAAATTTTATTTTAAATGTATTAATTCATTTTATAATTAAAAGCAACAACGCGCAAATATTCTATTTTCCCTATTGTATTTAAAACTTTTCACAAAATTCTTTGGTCAGCTTCCTTATATGTCTACGTTTGTGCTGATGTTGAAAAGTTGTTACTGCTCTTTGGTAATCAACATCATGTTTTTTGAATTTTTTGTAGTACAGTACATTTATAAAAATCCATAAATTTGGATAACTTATGCTGCTGCCAAAGATCAATTAAACTTTTCGATGACGAGCTTCCGCAGAATTAGTTGTCTTCTTTGATGTAGCCCAGGGCTGGCTAATCACTTAACCTACACGTCTTGTAGGTTAAGTGATGAAACGGAGTCAGAGATAAAAAATTTTTCTCTCTTAAGTTAAAAAGTTAAAAAATATACACTTTATTAATATTAGAAATGCATTTCGAACTCATTGTCCATCATCATTCCAAACAGCAAGCATAGGTTACTAAATTATTAATATTCAAAACTTTTTGGTTACAATAGTATTTTAATTAAAATATATTTACTAAACATGTAAACAGTACCTAAAGCGGATTTTCCGGCATATATACATACTGTAATATGATAATCTTGCTCTCGATAGAATCGTTAACCAAAGACTGTACATTTACCTATTTATTTTTTTAAATATATAATTCCTATTTACATAGATATTTAAATCACCAATAAAACATAAATCCACATATAAAATAGAATTGTATACAATAGTAGTAAAAAGAGAGTTGAATAGTTAAATGAAACGAGCAATTATTGTGACATCTTCACAATGCCAGGCTGAAACTTCAAATGACAGTTTTTAGCTGTCATAATTTATTTAATTTAAAATATATACTCTCAAATTAGTGGTGGCTTGCCCCTGTACTGTACTGTACTGTACAGTACAGTACATCATATTTTTCCATTAGCAATGGAGTCGTGTCGGACATCTATTAACTGTTTTCAGGAGAAAAGTTTTGAATTGAAATGTGACTTCCGGTTTGCATCGGAAGTTCGTATATAGTTAGGGGCCTCCTGCCTATAAGGTTTCCATATCCGGTCTCGGATTTCATCTAACTCCGTTCTCGAGATTAAGGAAATACAGACGGATGGACAACAGTGGGAATTTACAGGTCTACAATTTTTCAAATTGCAACAAAAAATTTTTATCTACAAAATTTGTCCTATTTCTTCCATTTATTGTTCTTCGGTACCAGGGTAAGCAGCCTAGGCGCTAGGCTGCTTACCGTTGTTATGGCTCCCTACAATTATTGTTATTGTAATGTTTAGCCTTAAGCAGTTTTTTTGTAACTAATTAAAAATATGTATAATATAAATAAAGTATATAAACATTTAAGTGCATTTGTTATTATTATTCTTACAACAAAACTTTCTGCGTTTCCATATTAGCGAAATCAGATATGTGTTTAGGCGCAAAGTTTTTTTTAATTTTCACTAAGGTGCCATGCATCAGGCATAGACTGCTCAGTGCGTTCCGCTGGCTCTGTTTTGTAGAGACCAAATGTTGGGGGAAAAAATCGTGGAGCCGCCCTGGTTCTAATATCCTTAACGACCTATGTATGCATTCGTGAACCGTTCTAAAACCACTTCAAATTCATTGGGTACATGATTCTCAAGTTCAGAAATAGCATAATACAGCGCTAGACAAAAATATAAGTCCAAGTAATATTAATAGCGAGGTTGCGGCTGAAGTTTTCAACGCGAAAACGTGAACGTCGGACGTTCAGCACCGCCTTCCTGTAAGCCTAGAAGTTTGACAATGGCATTTTGTACGTCAGTGGAATGATGCTCGACGTTCCAAACGCTATATTGAATTCATGATTGTGCAAATGAAGTTATATCAAACATTTATGTATACGAAGAGATACATTACTTGTAATAATCATTGAGAACAAAAAACAGGCCCCTGGATGTCAACTCGGAGAATATAAAACTAGATAAATTTGGAGATTTCATGGCTGTGGAGCAACCCACAGAAAAATTGCTACTGCAATTAGCTGTTCTCAATGTGCCATAGCTAATGTTATAAAACATAGAATTGATGGAGCCACTAAATATCGTTTATCATCGCTTGAACAAAGACAAATTTGTTTACTTGCAACTCGATCTAAGTTGTCAGCAAGAAAAATCAAAGGTGTTGCTTTACTTTCCTGTTAAATTCACTATTTCTCGAGTTTCGCAATCTAACAAAATACACAAAAGTAATGAAGAAAAACATCATTAACAAAGAAACAAAAAAATGCTTGTTTGGATAGGACAAGAAAGATCATGAGCTGGACTCATCAATGGTATATTACAGTGGTTTTAAATCTTTGAGTAGAAGTGGAACAGTGCCACACCGAGTGTCGAGACAGTTCCGGTCGGTACTACTAAAGCGTTCTTCATTCTGTACTTTTACGAATAGGGCTTTCCACGGAACGATGAATTCTTTATGTGAATTTGAACTTGAACTAATGAAAATGTTCCACGGGTTTTTAGGAATAATGAAATTAGTTTAGAGTATTTTAAATTTACAAATATATTTTAAAAATTTATATTTCTATTAGAGTTCGTAATTATTTGTTTTGTTAGCAACCCAACTGATATGTCGGTCATTGCCCGTCCAAACCGCTAAAGTGACTAAACGTTAAAATGAAAACCATATTATAAATTTGGTTATTTTAGTTTACAATTGTTGTTTATAGCGAAGTGTCGAAGAGATCAAATCAGGGGAAGAGTTGGGTGTCCGGATTTAGTTAAAGCCTACATTTTCCCTAGAGTCCCAGAGAATAAGCATAAAAAATTTTGGTGGGGATCGGACAAAGGATTTAGGAGTTAATAAAGGGGATGAAATCAGGGGAGGGGTAAGGAGTCCAGGTTTCGTTATAATCTAAATTTTTCTCAGATTCCGAGTTAAACAATTATAATTTGGAGCAAATCGACTAAATAAATAAATAAAATAAAAAATAAAGGAGGGAGAGAGAAACATTTTATATCCTATATAAAACCGATAAAGGACTATCTAGTTCAACAGACTAAGCAATTTCGATGTTACGTAATGATTCTGAGGAACAGCCTAGCTTAATTAACCTATCCGCACTCGGATCAGTTCCAGCAGCGGAACTGGATTTCCCAATTCTATTTCTGAGGCCACAGAATTCCATTCTTATACTTTTTATTACAGGGAGCATTGGAACAATGTATTCAAAAATTGATAAGCAACTCCATGTTTACTATTCTCAGGAAACAATAAAGCAATAAACTAATAAATTTTAATGTATTGAGTAAAATAAAAATATGGAATTGCCTACGAATCATAAGTCTTCATATACTGTAGTACATCAGAATAAATTTGCAATAAAAACTTAAAATGTTTTTTCCCCTCCCGTGGAACACCCGAGGCAGATTGCGGAACACTGGTTAAGAACCACTAGCACAGTATATTACTTTTAGATGAAAAGTTTAATCTTTATGGCTATCTATAGTATTGTGATCTCTAAAACTTATTAAACTCTGTTAGAAGATCAACTTAGGAAGTATAGTCACATTCTTGAAGGTAAAAATTTCAGTTTTTAACATGGATAACGCATCCCGCCACAATTCAAAACTAATGAAATAATGGTTTTCTAAAAGTAATATTGAAGTTTTCTCATGGCCTGTACGCTTTTCAGATCCGAGTCCATTTACAAAAATGGGAGACAATTTTCAATAGTTCCAGAACTGAAACAATCTATTCAAAAACCTTGGGATGAAATTACAAATGAGCTGCTGAATAAATTAATTGATTTAATGCCGGATAGCAAGTACGATGTTATTCGTCACCAAGGACATTACACAAAGTATTAATTTCTTGAATTAAGACGGTTAATACATTTTTGAACTTATAATTTTGTCTCTAAAATTTTTTTTTTTAATATTTTGTTTTCAAATAATTTGTGAGTATAAAATTATATCTATTATTTTAATATTTTAAATAACCGATTATTTTGCATGCTACCATTTCATTTAAACAATTTATTCGTTTACAGTCTAAAAATATTATTTGAATTTATATTTTTGTCTAGCACTGTATCTTGTTCTGAAACAAAAGCAAGTGATCATTTTTGAATGTAAAGCGAATTGCGCATCAAAATTGTATCTGGTTAAAAAAATGCACGAAGCTAAGTGCTTACGAAGATTTTGTACGAGACAGAAAAGAGCAATTATGTGAGCTTGCGGAAATACTATACATAAAGCATGTATAATCAACATTTATATTTTAAGAATCATGTAATGGCCACATTTTATGTATCATGTTAAGTAATTCTGTACATTTGTTTCAAGACTCTTTTTATGTAGTAAACAATATAAAAAGGGAAAACAGGACCCCCACCCTCTCTAACCAAAATAAAAATTTGAACAAGAGGAGGAAAGTAAAAATATGCCATCCACAAATAATTCATTTATGCTTTGGCTCCACATTACATGACTTGTAGAATCAAAAATGAATATTCTCATTGGATCGACCTGTTCTGATCCATAATCAGCAAAAAAAAAAAAAAAAAAAAAAAAAAGGTTTAAATTGTGGACTGAATTCATATTTTTAGTATTCTACAGGAATATTTAATACTTCCCTAGAATCAAGGTAATTTGGGTCCTATTTTATTATTTTTTTCAATCTTCTTCTTTGAATATTTTGCACAGACTGTTATGATTTGGAAACATTCCTTCCGCCACAGAATAAACATTTTCTATTTTAATTTGAGTTCTGATTTGTGAAGGATTGTTCATTATAGTATCCGCTAATTTTTTGGTTGCTTTACTAAATTTTCGCGTTATTACTCTGTCCGCATTTCCGTAACTGCTACACGAGTGTTCCTTTTTTTCACAAATTAACGACCCTTTACTGACACTTGTCCAGATTCTAGCTTTGCATCCTTTGTTTTTATTTTCACATCGCCAAAATTGAATCGAACCTTCCTTATTAATCTTGTCTTTAATATAAAGATATCCATTCCAAGCATATTTTTCCTTGTCTCTTTGACTCAATATTCTTGAATTGGCCATTTCTGAAGAATAGAAACAAGTATAAAAATAAAAATAAATTTAAAAAAAAAAGCTTTCACTATTGATATAATTAAGAATTTTTCCAGTAGGCTTATTTTTCACTTGTTGGGACACAACAAATAAAAATTATACTTAGCAATTTGTTTCATTTGATAGATAATCAGGGTATTAAAGTTAATTTACATGTTACATATACAATTTCCTTTGTGTTATTTTTTTTAACACTTGTCATATTTATAAGTCCCAAAAATTAGTATACGATTAAGATTATAAATTTTGAATACATACCTTTTATTTACTTTAAAGTTACAATGTGCAAAGAACAACTGTATGTTGACACAAATGTTCGATGTAATAAACAATTGGTCTTAATTGTATAATAAAAGTCGAAAGTTGAATACTGTACTTATTGAACTAGATAACCGCACAAATGATAAATTGCTAGAGATATTACGCAATGAAGCTTAGAAATACAGTACTTCTATTTTTTTTGAGAATGATTTGCTCTTAGACATACATATTTTAAATTCATGGAAAGTTCTTCCAACGAATTAGAAATAGCTGACAAAGCACCTGAAAGAATACCAGTTCTTCGTAAGAATTTGTTTTCGTGGTTTCTTCGGTGTGCTTTGTTAAATGTTTCTGACATATAATTATTAACGATGCTACGTTGTTCCAAAAACATTACCTTTTACAAAGTCAGAAATAACTCATAACTCTCAACCACATTTATTTATATTTTACTAACATTTCCAAAAATATCCGCCCAATCGTATGCTTGCTAACAAGTGTAAAAATTTTTGTTTCTATCGCCCATTGTGAATCTCCCAGTTGTCGCATACCCCTTATTAATCTTATTGTAATCCTGATTAGAGTTCTTTCTTATCATATTGCGTCAGATAAACTGTTTTAAATTTGGTTTTACGTTTCATGAAATTAATTAGTCGAACGTTGATTTATAGAATACTTAATTCGTTCAGTTTATAGGGGCACGCGACAGCTGATAGATGGTCAACTGGGCAACAAAAAATTGAGAATTTTTGCACGTTTTACCAGCATATGATTTGACGGATACTTTTTGTAAACATGCGTAAATGTTTGTTAATTACAAAATATTAATAAATTAATCTAAAAACTATTTTTTCTTAATTTGAATATTGTGCAATTATACCTTTTCATTTTAAATAATTTTTGGAACTTATTTCTTAAATGATTCTACAAATTTTGATTTATGATACATAGCTGAAAATAAAAAGGAATTAACTAGCTGAATAATTTTGAATTGGAAATTTCAACATAATTTCTATGAAATTTTTAATCCTACATAAAAATAAACTTAATAATATGGATTTTTCAAACGTTATGTTTAGATGGTTCTTTTAACTCGTTTCTAAAAAAAATATCGTTTCTGTTACCTATCACACGAATGTCGCCATACCCAGAATGGTCTTTTTTCTTTTAATCAAGGCTGTGGAGTCGGAGTCGTGGAGTTTTGGTGTTATAGCCGGAGTCGGAGTTTGACGACTCCGACTCCCTTTTACTTACCAACTTGTTATGTATATAAAACGGAGTCGGACGAGAAAGAAAAGTCGGAGTCGGAGTTAGAGTCGGTAGATTTTTATGCGACTCCACAGCACTGCTTTTAATTAAAGAATGCATTAAATATCTTGATCAGCTAATATATTTTAACGGTTATGTAATCTGATTGACTCCACCTAAAAACACTCCAGCGGAACTCCATCATTTATTTTTACACCTTTTAGATGATGTTTCACAAAGATATTATTTCTATCGTATATCACAAAATATGAATCATGTAGAATATCTACTTCATGAAATTTTTACTCGATTCAAAAATACTTGTAAATGCATGCTAACTTTTCGATTATTTAATTCACTGGATTGTTTTACTGTTTTTCATTTTTTTTCTTTTTGTAACTTCATTACGTTTTATTCTTACGCGGGTGTGTGGAAATCTTTAGATTTTGAATACAATAGAAAAAGTCTGATTAAGTAAATAAATGACTATTTAAATTGATGAGTCGTAGATCAATAGAAAAGACTAACGATTTTAAAAAAGTAAACGATAAAATTTGTTTGTCTATTATTGATTTATTATTTTGTCGTCAGATATCCGGCGCCTACTTGGCGATAGCCCAGTTGACTATATCCCATTTACACACACACACACACACACAGATTAATTCAAAAATTTTTTTCGCTCAGTGTTAAATGTTGAGTAATCACATAAATTTAAATATTTCACATTTAATTATCAGGTTGTAAAGATGAAATTTAGACATTTTGAAAAAAACTTTATTGATAATTAACTCAACAAAAATTAGTTCAGTCTTGTAGGTAATCACCATCAATATCAGTCACATATAGCCACCTTTGCTGCAAACTTTCAATCCCCGTAAGTAGGTAAGCATAGAATGGCCATCAGAATATGCTTCATGATTAGGCCCACCAGTGGCCAAGCGGTTCCGTTCTCTGAAAACTGGGAGTTCGGTCGTGGGTCAGGACGGGCTGGCCATGTGGAGTTTTCCCGGTTTTTTCCACGTCTGTAAATGCCTGAATAGGGGCTAGTTACCCTTAAAAAAGAGCTTCCGGAAGGCATTCCCCCTAGGTAGATCGCCCGAGTGTTGTGTTACCGCAACTTAATAAAACCAAACCAACTTCATGATTGACCGTTTCTTCAAAATATTAAGGCATTATGGAATCTTACTTAGACGTCTTGCTTAACAGCATGACACGCTCAAACTTGGCGTACCAAAGAACGTTGCTCCGTTGCTCGTTCAACGTTTAGCACGTTGCTCCGCGGCCAGTGCCATTTTCACATTTATAACGTGAAGAAACTAGCCACTGAAACTCCTACCTATCTCCGTTGTGACAAATGTGAACTTTATAAGACTAATATGTTTATTATGACAAAGTTTTCTAATTATCCTCACACTAAGGGATCAACTGTATTATTATTATATTTTTGTATATTTTTTTATAAATTTATCAGATATATACAGGATGATTATAATTAAAGTTTCACTTTGAAATGCCCATAAAATGAAAACTACTGGACAGAATGTTATCAAACTTGGTAATAGTGTACAGGACGTCATGGGATCTTATTTCTTGTGAGGAAAAAAAAGTTCAAAAACTCACCATCAACAGTAAATGGCGCTGTCTGCAATATTCTTAAACGAAATAAGACACGAAGACATCGTTGAATCGTTGAAAATGTTTTTAATCGATTTTAAAACGTGTTACAGAGCATGTTATGTGGTGTCCATCATTTTTGATAAGCAAGTTACATCGCGTTACTGTGTTCTCAACAGTAGCTCTTAGCATATCACTTTCTTCCTGCCGTAAGCCATTGTGATTTTGCGTAACCCCACAAACAGTTTCGTTTTAAAACCGATTAAAAACATTTTCAACGATGTCTTCATGTCTTATTTCGTTTAACAATATTGCAGATAGTGCCATTTCCCGTTGGTGGTGAGTTTTTGAACTTTTTTTTTCTCACAGGAAGTAAAATCCTATGACGTCCTATACACTATTACCAAGTTTGATAACATTCTGTCCAATAGTTTTCATTTTATGGCTATTTCAAAGTGGAACCTTAATTATAATCACCCTGTATGTATGAATGTAAAATTTGTATTCAAGCTACTTTGAAAATGTGGACAAGAGAATTTGTCATTTCAAAGTTTCTTGAATTCAAGAATCCTAAAGTATTATAGAATGCTATTCTACTAAATTCAAGAACTTAAAAACTCCAACCAATCGATATAAAGCATTTTGTGACAAAAATGCTTTATATCGTGACAAAAAGGCAGTTTGGACGGAGAAGAACGTAATAAAGCATGTTATATAACTGAGTATCAATTAAGGTCCGATTTCTGAAGTCTGGTTTCCAGTTATTATTTCAAGAGAAACGAATGGAATAGCTCACAAGAATTCTCAAAAATTCAAATATTTGTTAAATTCAGCTAAATATTAAAAAAAAAGGAACAGTATCAATCTAAGTGGCGGTGTTTCTCATAGCTTACTCCTTTCTTGATGCCATATTTTAACTACAAATTCTGAATAGAAGTCAACATTTTCTACCTGCAAGTGTCTATTGTACGATATAGACAAGTTATGAACCTTTGTAGCCACTATGGCACACATCTGCCGATATCTGTAAAGTTCACTGAAAAAAGTTAGAAAATTGCTAAAAAAAAGAATCTGGAAATTATTATTTGGTGGAATCAAGATGACAGTCTGTTCCTTATCATAAGCCTGATAGCTTTTCACACTGGCATAAGTTTTGTATCCGTTCATTACTGAAGAAAAAAAAGAATAATTTTATCAAATAATAAAATTATTTTTCATGTTTTTTCAGTGAACTTCACAGATATAAATGTGAGGATAAATATTGTGTGTGGATAAACACAGAATATTTGTCACCACATTAATATATAAATATATACAAATAGTATTACTTTCAACTTGTTTTTAGAATAAAATTTGTGTGTAGATACCTTATATTTACATAGATTACTACTTTAAAAATAATATCAAAGTTTACAGTTCATATTAAACAACTAATGGATGTAATATATCATAAATTCTTTATACATTTTACAATAAATTTTAATATTAATTGCAGAACAACAGTGATTTAATGAATCTCTCAAAACTTTATTCAATTATGTCTTCAATAAATTTAATTTAAACTGAATAATAAGACAGTGAAGACTGACCTTTAAACTATAAAGAATTAGCTATTAATAACATTTTCTGCAATGAATTAACTTACCTGAAACATTTTAATACAGAATTTGCATTTTCAATTATTATAAATAAGATTCAGGAACAAAAATTGTTTGTGTAATATAAAGCAATATTTCAATGGAGTAATTATACCTTTATAACAAATTTTAGTTTCAACTTTTTTATAAAGCAATAGCTTGATCTTATTTTAACTTATAAAGTCAAACTTGTTTAATTGTCTGTGTAGAAGTAAATAAACAAGTAAACATTTTTGAAAAGAAATATTTTATTTAAACTTTTATATAAGTATGAAATAAATATTTAATTTTTATTATATATAAAAATAAATGTTAGTATATAAGAAACATCAGTACAATATGTGAAAGTAGCTAATCTTAAAATGTTTGATGAAAAAAAAATTACAATCTTATCATTAGAACATTTATATAATTTTTTTTAAATAACTAATTCAAATTTTAATGAAATAACTACATAACTATATTTTAAATAAAATTTATTTATTTATAAAATTTTATACTTTACCACATTATTATTAACAACACTTTTTTCTGCAATGAACATAAGTAATAATAACAAAATAAAAATTATTCAATTAATCACTAAATAAAATTTATAGCTAAAAATACTTACTCATTTTTTTGAAAGCAAACTTTTAACAAAATAATAGATAAATCTTACAAACATAACTGTTATATAAATATATCTTTTAATGTACCTTCAAAAATTTTAATAATGTAAACAAAGTATATATATCATTTAATATAATAAAATTAAAATATACAGTATTATTATATATCCAGAAAAAGTAATTTTATTAACTATTTAAATTATATTAGCAAATATAGAGAGAATTTAATTATCATGAATATTTACATTGATTAAATTTTTTTAAATATTAAAATGCAACCAAACAATTATTTTAACCAAATATATATTCCATTTTTCTAGTAAATAAATACACTTTTTATACTGAGTATATTTATAAATGCTATTAAATAAAATATAAAGATTGATAAATTAAATATTTAAAATAATAATAACAAATTAATGAACATCTATTAAAATAAACAATAATAAAATTATGAAAATGAATAAAAAATAAAAACAATTTTGGAAATATAGAAAATTATCATTTTTGATTTTTCATTAAGAAATTTTTAAATACTGAATCAATATATACAGTATATACAGTAATATATATATATCAATATATACAGTATATGTCTCAGCACACATATTATGCCTTACAAAAATATTGTTGCTGAATCAATAAATTCCAAATAAAATTTTGTTGTTTGTTCTACAGATCAGATATCAAATGATATAAAATTCTATCATATTTAAACTTTTAATAACATCTAGATATTTAGGTCCGAGGTATATAATTTAAAAAATAAATTATTCAAATGATCAATCATCTGTTAATATTTAAAAAATTTATATTCATGTATTATTAAATAAAACTTATATCAAACATTATGACACTGATGAGGATTTAATTAAGATTATATTTTAATCTCTAAAAAGATTTTCTTATCAAAACAGGTTAAATAAAGAAAAACCCCTAATCAATTTAAATTCTTAAACTAATTAATATATTTTTAAAAAGTTATTTTTCTACAAAATAAATAAAGGTCACTTATACTAACACAACTAGAATAAAAGCATTTTTGTCTGGTATTTTTCAAGCTTATTCAGATAAATTCATACAGAATAGAACAAAACTCACTGAAACAAATTTGAATACAAATTTTCTCTCCTTAAATTTGCTCCAATAAATTGTTTAATTAATAAAATTATGCTAATCTGAATGATATAAATAATTTTGATGTTATGAAATAAACAGGATATACCTAAAAAAAGGAAAAAAACCAAAACATAACTTTTATAAACTATTTAAGTCAGAGGATGTTTTCACTAAAATATTTTAAAATAAATACCAAGAACCATTCAATGAATAAATCCAAATAACTGGCAAGGAATTCAAGATAAACATTACTTGATAAATATTTGTATTAACAAATATATTAATAAAGCTAAATGATAAATTGAAAAAGATATCTATGTAATGCCCTGAAGGATTCACATTTGGATTTGGATTAATTCTTCAGGAATTTTTAACTGGCCAAAGATGTATTGACTCTATTGCTTATTATGTGTATTTCTACATTAGAGACCTGGCTAAATCTTAAAATAGATCTTAATGCAAAAAGTTCTGTATAATATTTGTTTGTGTAAAAAATTTCAATAATGAACTTTTAGTTTTCTAGTACAAAGATCTAGTACAAAATTAATTCAACCATAATCATATAATGTATATGTATTTTTTCTCTATATAAAATTTTTTTTTCAAACAATACTTTATCTTTCTGACTGTATAATATACAATCAGCAAGTCAATTGTTGGGATGCAATTTGAAAAAATTATAGACTTATAAATTCCCACTGTTGTCCATTTGTCTTTCCTTAATCTCAAGAATGAAGTTAGATAGATGAAAAACAAGGCCAGATATGGAAACCTTAGGGATAAGAGGCCCCAATTATCTATTCTATACAATCTATATTCTATCCAATCTATCTATATACAAACTTCTGATGGAAACCAGAAGTCAAGTTATTTCAATTCAAAACATTTCCCCTGAAAGCAGTTAATAGATGACTGGCACAACTCCATTGCTAACAGAAAAGTATAATGTACAGGAGTAAGACACTACAGTACAGTACTAATTTGAGGTGAAGAGCATATATTTTAAATTAAAAAATATGATTAAAAATTGCAGTCCGGCATTTGGTGATGTTACAATAAATAATTGTACAGCTGAGTATTAAACACAAGATCGTGTTATTAATCAAACACATGGCCTCTTTTCCATCTTTATTTAATTCAATTAAATAAAGATGGAAAAGAGGCCATGTGTTTGATTAATAACATGATCTTGTGTTTAATACTCAACAAACAGTACAACATGGTTTCAAAAAACAAATAAAGAATAAGTACAGCATTAGGTTTTCTTATACATTTAATATAATGAATGTGATATACTTTTAAGTGATAAAAAAGTTTTTGTTATTAAAATAATTATTTCAGAAACAATTATATAGATTAATAAACTTCAATGGATTAACTACTGTATTTACAAAGTTTAGTTTATATAAATATATAATTCTTCTATTATAGTCTATACACAAATACATAGTTTATTTCTCTAGTATATAAAAAAATTTAATTAAAAATATTAGATAAAATACACAAGAGTTTAATTTTATTGCTTTTTTTTTTGATAGTAAAAATTTTTATTTATTTATATAATCTTCCATTGAAATTTTAATGCATAATTTTTCTGTAATTTTTATAAATATATTTTATATTGTTTTTGATGTTTCACTGAATTATCATTTTGATGTTTTAATTTTAAGCTGATGAAAATTAAAACATAAAAATAAATAATTGTTTAAAATGGAGAATGACTTTTTAAATAATGTGAAAATAACAATTACATAAAAAGTTTTTGGTTTTTCAATTTGAATTAAATTCATTGATAAAAGTTAACAAATGATTGATTCATATCAATATTTATATTTCAAATCCCACTAAGTCAGAACTGCATTTATTATTTCTGTAACTGAGTTAGCCATAAATTTTCATTATTTGTATGTACATTCAAATATTAATAATAGAAATTAAAAACATAATTACAATTTACTAACTCTTCTAAAAGAACTATTTATAGTAATTCCTATGCTATTTACTTATACATATTTATTCTTTCTGCTTGTTAGGGAAATCAAACTTTCTTTAAAATTTTTTAATTTGAAATGTTTTCAGTTCATTCAAACCAACCTCAACCAGAAAGCTATTACAAACTTTTTGTGGCTAAAGTTGGATCAAATGAGATGAAAATGTTTCCAATTAAAAAACTCTAGTTTCCTTAACAAGCAGAAAGTACCAAGTTTTGGAGAATGTAAGTATTTTATTATATTTATTTATTTATTCTCCTTACATATATTACATTTCCTACACAAATTACTCGTGCCTTGTCGAACATATTTATTTCATAAATTGCAGTTTATATAATACTGGTGTTTGGCAAGGATTGCTTCAAGTATTGTTTTGAACTAATTAGTTCTTACAGGGAACTCAGTAAATTAAATATCACAACACAGGTCAAGGAGAGACTATTTGAAATAACTAGAAGTACTATACATATATTGATATATTTTATAAAGTATATTAAGACAATTAAGAATAAAATAAAAACTAATAAAGATAGAAAATTATAAGAATTAAAATACAATAGTTAAATCAAATGGTAATAAATATTGAACTGTTATCTGTAATGAGGATGATAATTTCTTTTCCTAAAAAAACTCTAAAAAATGAAAATAGAAACTTTGCTGATAAACTATTAAATAAATAAAATATTTTAATGTTAATTTTTATATTATGTTCAACTGATGTAAATTATTTGAAATCATTTCATTCACATCAAAATCTTTACATTTGAAAGCAATAATGTAGTAGATAAAAATGTAACTTGTACAAAATTTATGTAAATATTACATAAATAATTTTAATTATAAGATTACAATTAAATTTTTTGATAACAACATTAAAAAAAGTTAGGAGAAAGCCAAAAACATTAAAAATGTATAAAGTTCTTTTTGAAAAAGCAATCTGAATGAAATTGTACAGGAAAAACAAAAGGAAAAAAAAAACAAATTAAGTCTGAGAACCTGTTTTTATTATTTCAGTACAGTTGAAGAATCTGTGTAAAAACTCTCCATATTTGCCAATAAATTCAGAATTTTATTGTAAGAGAAATAAATTTTCTTACTTAATAAATTTTGCTGATCTGCTGATTCAGAAATCTCTCTTTCAGTTTGAAAACTACTTGGTCCAGGTAGTGAAGATACACCCAAAGTATCTATGTACATGCTGCTATCTTTATGAATTATATTAGATTCAGGAGATCCTGGTGGATCATCAAACGTCATTATTGGTTTGATATCTATAAAAATTTAATAATTATTATTGTTTTATATTCATCAAAANGAAACTTTCTTGAAAGTCGCGTTATTTTGAGTGTAACAAATAAATATACATACATATATATATTTACAGTCGACCCCCCTATAACACGGGTTCCTATAGTTTGGATTCCTAAATCACTTCAAAAAAATTGCGACAGTATTCGTACAAACATGCTAAAAAAAAACTCCTGTAATTCGGTAAAAAGTCATTCCCGATCATGTTGCGACAGGATTGCACAAACCATTGAGTTTAAACGAGCAGCAGACCTACTAAAAACCATTTATTATTTAACGTCCATAAAAATTATATTTACATTAATGATGTCTCTAAAGTTCAGCGAATTTTTCGCAAAAAAAATAATTTATCAGAAGCACGCGAGCACCATTCGATGACAATCTCCACGACAAAAACAAGCTTAAGCAACGGTGTAGTCGAACGATGCACACTTGGTAAGTAATCCTACAATTTTTTGTTTATAGCATAGATTATATGGATTATTCCCAAAAAATTATACGTATTTTGGAAATGTTGAGTCAAATTAGTCTAGAATTGATTAATTTTATGGAAGAAACCTTTCAAACAGCCGTAGTCCGTAAACTACATACATGCCGGGCTGTGATTGGCTGAATTCCTAGGGGCTGGATTCCTAGGAGCTGGATTCATAAAAACAGGAACGTATCTACCGTGTTATAGGGGAGTCGACTGTATATACCCAGGGTGGCCAAGCTCCTTGATAGTCCGAGCCATTTTTCAAAATTTGAAATTTTTCGCGAGTCGCAATTAAATACGTATTAAAAAGGTATGCAAAAAATTCCAGAATACAAATTATATCCGTAGCAAGAGTGATACAAATTGTTTCCTCCAGAGCACAATGTCAACTGTCCGTTGCAATGACAGTTTACAAATTTAAAATCGGTCTGGAATCGGTCGATAACGGATGATTACGTCACTGTTTATGTTCATTCACGCAGTTTTCGATGAGTCATATCATTCTTAACTTGGATGGAAATGAAATTTGTTACAACGTTGCACTTAGTCTTTCATATTTGTTGTTAGTAATTTAAAAGACATTTTGAAACATATACGGAACAATAATAATTTTTTAAAATATAACAACACAAAAATGAAAAGGGAACTCGAGAGCCACAAATAATCCTTCAAAGAGCTGCATGTGGCTCGCGAGCCGCAGGTTGGCCACCCCTGGTATAGAATATGACATTTCTTTTAATTACAATAAAGTTTTAAAGACATCAAATTTATTATTTTAGAAATTCAATACTGTTTCATTATTTTTATTCTAGTTTTAAGTTTTCAATAAACTAGCACTTTTTAATTGACTGGGCATGGATTACACTTTGGGAACACTGTGCTAGACTTGAAGAAAATTGTTTTTAGAAAATGTGTACCGAAATTTTCTATAAGTGGGAACTGAAATGTGTTACAACCAACTTAAGCTAACATTGCCAATGCCACTTAGATATTTGAGTGTCAATTTNAATGAGTGCCCAATCTAACATATTTTAAAAATTTTGTAAATTGTGTACAGTAGAGGAAAAAAGAATTTTTAAAATGTGTTAGATTGGTCATTTGGTGTGAGAAACTTATGTAAGATAACCTTCATATTTATATAGCTGATCATACCCGTTTTCACCAGGTGCAAGAATTAAATCTCCCCTCTTCTGAGAATTTCTAGATGGGTCTAAAAATATGTTTGATTTCCTGCAAAAATGCATCTAAAATAATACAGTAGAAACCAAGTTCTTCAGGGTAATCCTTAACCATCTCCCTCTTCCCCTCAGGGGAAAAAAATCTCTTCTTAGTGTACATTCTCATGACATACTCTAACTGTGAACCAAAGTTCAACTACTAACTGTTTGCACTCTGCACTTATTATCTTTACTATTATTATTATTTTTATTATTATCAACCCATCTTGATTATATTATATTATATATAATTTACTGTATTAACTGAAATCATTTAGAAATTTGCACATCAACTATAAAAAATTCTGAATTTTATTGTATCAGTATTCATTTTTATGACAAATTTATATTTCCTTTTCAGTAGTAGGAAATATCAATAAGTCAATAGAAAACAAAGTTTATGTGATAAATAATGTACATCCTTCTTAATAATGAATTTTCTATTCCATGTAATATATTATTTAATAATTATAGAAAATACTATATCTAAATATCAGTTATCTATAATTATGAAAAAGTAATTACACAATAGAATCTGCTTATTATAATTACTATGAAACTTGCCTACACTAATAACAATAACTAAATGATAACATTAGGTGAGATTAAGTAAATAAGACTTCAATTAATGGAAATTCTAGTTTTACTTTGACTCCAACATTAAAAAGATATGTTAAATGATTAAAAAATATATGATTTCAAGATTCATTAAGTATAATTATTAATTAGTAGTAATTCAGCCAATGTTGTTTACCTGCTGTGTTTCTGCAGTTCTGTCTTTAAAAGCAGCTAGTATATAATTGAAGTAGGAAATATCAATTTAAACTACTGTACTCTGAGCAAATAATGATTAAAACAACTAACATTTAAAGTACTGGTTAAGACTGACAGCAATAACTAATAACAATTCTGCATTATAAATCACATGTTGAAGCTGACAGTGTAAAAAGACAACTTAAAAATGCAAATAACTGTAAGAAAACTGATTGTAATACGGAAAGTTTGATAAGTGTATTTTAATTTATCTTTTGAGACTTGCTAATTCCGATAACCTTAAATAACTAATAACAGTATCTCTGATTATAATAAAGAGATTCTATTATAGTATAGTATTGTGTAACATCATTTAATTTAGTTTGAATTTGAACAAAATTGAAAAATCAGTTTAAAAAATAAATAAAAAAAAGCTAGAAATTTACTGAGTTTTATATTTTATGATTTATGAATAATGTTTTGAGACTAACTTAATGATGATATTCCCACTTTTTCCAATCAATCTTCCATTTTATATAATGTTATAACAAAATTGAATTATGTCACATCATACTCATATGCAGGGTTGCACTGCATAGTGCCAAAATTGCCACTTGGCAATATTTTTATTAAGATGGCATATAAATATAATACTGGCAATTGCAAGTGGCAATAAAAATCTTAGTCTGCTTGTTTCAACATTCATCATGAAATTAAATCACAAATCACACTTCCAGAAAACAGCAAAATGTTGAGCTTCCTTACAATGAGAGTCCCATGCACCAGACACCTGTAGTGCTTACACTTTTTGAATCAAACTGATCCAAGATTACTCTGATCATTCAAATCGTGTATACAAATGAACTATATCAATTTGATCAATTTTTATCCACATATACAAATGCTATCTAGGATTAACTGGATTGCGATTAAACTAATCCAAATGGAGGGTAAGATCATTTGAATCAGATAAAAAAGATTAAAGATGGTGACAACCACGGTTAAAGTCAAGCTTATAGTTGACAGCAAGGAAATATGTTTAATTGTCAATGAAGAAAAGTACTATATTTAAAACTTATATATGGTAAGTAAATCATTATTAAAATAGCCAATAAATTAAAATGAAAAAATAAGTGTTTACAGACAATTCTGCAAGATTGTATAACAAGAATACATGGCAAGCACTCTGTCATTTTGCTGTTTTGTGAGCAAATTTATTCACAGTGTACAGTTCAATCCTACTTGTATACTTACTGCAAACTAAAATACATGACAGAAGTAATCTGTATCATGTGCCAAAAACTGCAGATCAGTCTTTGTCACATAATACAGATTGCTCCATCTAAAACAAAAAGTACATGTTCCCCTAGCAATTTCATGACGTCACATGGCAAGTTTGAGCAGAAAAGTAAGAAGTGACATCAAGAACCAAAGGCAGTTTTTTGCAATGCTGCCTAGTGTTTACAGATTAGGGATATTTATTGACTGGCAGAAAATTTGGAGAAATTTTTGGGATGAGTTTTTTTTCACTTTGATCTTTTTTCAGTACACTAAACAAAAATTTTGACACAATAGAACCTGTGAAACACTGGTTAAACACTGTGATCAAATGTGTTATTCAGAATTACAGTATTCATAAAAAATTATTTTAAAATAATTTCTATTGCATACAAGGGGAGGGCCAGATATTTGGGTCTCTGATTCAAGCAAACTTGATGAACCTTAAACACAAGCATTTCCTTATCCAAATAATAAGACCCACTTCTCAAGCATTTCTGAAAATTAGACTTTTAAGAATTGTGTTTAGTTTATAAATCTTTGAAAGTTTTACTTCTCTTGCAGCTAATTAATAAGTAAAACTGATGGTAACAAATAATTTGAAGTGGTGAAAAAAATTTAAAACTAGTGAAATAGTGGCAATATTTTTAAATTTTCCAGAGCGACCCCTGCTTATGGTATATACGTAAAAAATATGTTTTTGTAACATATTTTTTATGTACTTTAAAGTACATAAAAAGCTAGCAAAAAGTAGTAATCATATTCTGTGATAGTGTAAAAATTAAAAATTCATAACAAACATTACATCAAATAAATAATAAAACAATGGGATCGGTGTAGACAAATATTAAAATTAATAAATTCTAAAAATTTTTTCGTTTAAAAATCTTCTAAGAACCACAAGTGACGTTCACTCTTTAATTCCGACTTCGATAGAGTTTAAAAAAACAGAGAAAACCAGAGAATTATTTTCACTATCTCTTACTTTATTATGTTATCCATATATATTTCGCTATTTTAGCCTCTTCAGTGGATATCTTTAGTGGATAAACATTACATCACAAGGATACATTATTGAAGAACTGTTTGATCAGAAATGTTACAAATCAGAAATTGGCAAACTCAGTCTGGCAATTTATATAAACTGATCAATATAGAAAATGGCTTTACAACTAATATGCAATCTTTGAAATGAAATTGTTCTTCAATATCATATCCTTGTGCCATGACGATGTAATAAAGTTTTTAATTTTTACTACAATTTTACATGAAGAATTTGATCACATTTGTACAGTACACCAGCTTTAAGGTGTGTTGATTTTTTTGCAACAGAATGTATTTGTATCTTTTCACACATAGCAATGAAAATGGAATAAAATTGTACTTTGAAAAATCAATAATATAACTTCTAATTATTTGTTAATGTAATTAATATTGAATGTTACAAGGGCCTTAAAATAAAGGTTGACTCTACATAGCCAGCCCTCCTCAGACATTACGCCATCCAAAGATGTGAAAACACTTTTACTGTATTTTATTTATCTAACCATCTAAAAAGGGTTTGTGGACTAATAAACAAAAATTGTTATGTCCTTCTAAGTGTAAATTTACAACAAATTTATACTTTGTAGACTGATGAGGGATCAACAAAAAAGTTGGATCTGAAATACATATAAATAAAACATATGGAAATTAAAATTATTTCTGGGTAATTCTTGAACTCTGGTGAACAGTCAGATTAGAATGACATAACAATTTTTGTTTATTAGTCCACACACCCCTTTTAGATGGTTAGATAAATAACTGATTAAGCCGACTAATATTGTAGAATTTATCTGACTTTAATTTAATGTTTCTTTTAAACTTGTGAATTTTAATAATTATCATCCTGGAGTTTTAATTAAAAAGGAACTGATTTATAAAATTGAAATGAAACAGAATCCGAATAATAATAATAAAAACATTAGTTCAGATAAGAAATTTACCTGCTAGATTAACGTTATGGTGTTTTTTTGTTATTATTAGTAAATCCAGTACAAAGTTATTACATCTTTATTATATAATACACATTTTTAAAAATTAAATAATAGTTCTTTTATAAAATAAAATGAATAACTTTTATATTATGAAAAACTTTCAATAAATTTGTAATTATTTGGATTTAACAACATAAGGTAAAACAGTAATTTATAAGGAAAGAAAAATCAGTTTTATAATTAAAATTTATTTTTAAAAATTTCAGTTCAATTTTTTAAATAATGATATAAATGAAAAGTAATTTCTAATGATCTATTTGGTTGTTTGGAAAGTAAGTTTGTTTTTTCTCTGTGGAAAAAACACAATATTTTTATAAATAAATAAATATTTTATTGAATTATATATCAACCATTTTGGTCAAATACCTGTTGTCATCGTTTCTGGTAGTAGCATGATTTCACATTCATAAAAGTTTTGATCGTTGCTTAAAAAAATCTGATCCAAGTGATTTTTGACATTGTCATTTCAAGTAAATGTCTTACAGTTAAAAAAAAAGTATAGACTGGAACAAGTAATAATCTGAATGTGCTTGATCTGGCGAATATGGTTGATGTTATAGCAGGTCCCATCTAAGTTATAACAGTTTCTGACGAGTTACCAAACTTGTGTGAAATTTGACATTATCGTGGTAAAACACTACACCTGTTTTGTTTATCAATTCTGGCCACCTTTTCTGTTTGATGATATTACTCAATTTGTTTACTTGATGGCAGTACACTTTCAAATCAATTGTTAAATTATCTGGTAAAAGTTCCAAAAAAAAAATTTCCTTAAAATCCCTTAAAATCTTAAAGAAACATGTTCTTAAAGAGAGCATGTTTCTTTAAGAACACGTGGAACCCATATATCGAGCTTTGAAATGAAACCAATTTGTTTCAAGTAATCTTAAACAGTTCAGTTTGGCAAATTTTATCTCTTAGTGATTTCACATGTTGTTGTTTGGCAGTTTGCTTCAATCAGTACCTTTATTTTCTTTTTATTGGCTTCAACTGGCCATCCAGAACGTGGTACATCTTCAATATTGAAATTGCCAGAACAAAATTTTGTAAACCAGTTTTGGTACTGTCTTTCTCTCAACACATCATCTCCATACATGTACCACAATTTTTTTCTTGCTTGAACAGCATTTTGATTTTTTGGTAATAAAAAAGCAAAATATGCTGAAAATGATGCTTTCGATCTTCCATATTTGATGGGACACAAAAAATAAACAATTGCACAGAATCAAACAAAATTTTTTACAAATAAGCCTTAAAATGCTAGCTGTCAAACTATATAATGACAATACGGTTTAGAATGAAAATGGTGGGAAAAATATGATTAATCCGTCTAGTGGTAAAAAAACGAACTTACTTTCCAAACAACCTAATAAAAGATATTAATTATTGTAATATTTTCAAATAATAATATACCTGGAACATCTTCAGAAAGACAATTTGATGTGGATGCTTCAGATGCAGTAGAACATGAGGCTAAAATTTCACTTTCATTTGAGGCAGGACCTGTATGAACTGAATGATTATCTGTTAATCCACTTGTTGATGGAATAGCTGATGCAGTTGCTGAAGATTCTATTTGGTCTTGAGAAGTGCTTTCAGGGTATATAGGTTTCTGAAAATAAGAATAATTGGTGTTAAAACCAATAAAACTTGGCACTATTATTATAAGGAGAGAGACATAACCTGCTTCTTAAGCTAACCAAAACTTATTTATTTTTCCAAAAAACATTTTTGGCTCTTCTTTATCCTTTCTCAATTTCAATATTTCAAAAAATTCTTGAAGTAGTTCTTAGAATATTGGAGTTTAATTAGACTTAGGTTAAAAGATATTAAGTTTAGGTTAGCAGTGATATGGCAATTTAATCATGTTAGCACTACAGTCAAACCTTGGGTTTCGAACAACTTGCATTTCAAACAATTCAGTTCATGAAAAACATTTTGAACTTATATTTGTCCCAGTTGCCAAACAAGCTACTTGGCAAGAGCAGACCACAAATGGTCAACACCTTATATTTTCTACATTAAAGAAAGTCAACAGTCTGACCAATCAACGATGGGACTACCGATTCAGAAGTTAGTGGTGCTGAGATTTACGTTGTTTCATTAGACATCATGACATGAATCATCAATGACACTGCCATTTAAATTAAATTTCAATGCATATGTGAAAAAGATGCTATTTCCATTTTTTGATAGTTGAATCATAATCAAATTAATTAATAAACACTGCATTAATTGACATAATATTAATGGCATCCAAAAATTCATGTTTACATATACAGTAGAGCATCAATTATCCGAATATCAATCAACTGAAACATCAATTAACCAAAAGCTTTCCAGTCGGCAAATTTAAATTTCCGCTAGTTCTGTGGTGCTGCAATCTTTGGCTATGTCTTGGGCTACTTTAATATTATTTTTGTTGGTGTGTGTTTTAGCTGGCAGCACTGGCACGACCATGAGAGGGTACTTAAGGACGTGCCAGGATTTGAATGAATTTCAACATGGGATAGGTTAATATATTTTTTTGTACATAATCGGTTATCTAAAAAATTTTCTGAACAATCGATTAATATTAGGTAATCAGTTAATTAAAACTAAAAATAATATTTAAACCTAAAAATAATAAAATAATAATTAAAACTCTGGCCTTTACACTGAAATCAAAACCAAAACTAAAATTAAAAATAAAATCAAATAAATTGATAAATAATATTTAGGAAAGTGTAGATAAAACTTGTCTTGATTGATTTGGTTATATTCCATCCAAGTAGTCAGAGTTGAGTCTATTTATAGCACTTTTTTGTAAAGTTTTAGCTTTGGTTTGGGTTTTCATTGGCAGTGACATAATATTTTATTTTTAATATATATTAAAAAACAAAATGTTATACATACATACATAAATAGGTAATAGGTATTTATAATAATAATATATTGCATTTGCAGGCACTGTTATGTATGAAATACAGCTAAAAAAGATAAAAAAAAAAAGGCTTTTGGGGTTGGGGGGAGATTGACCTGTTTTATATTGTTTATGGGAAAATTTGTTTCGCTTTTAGAACAAATTGATTTTCAAACAACTTTTAGGAATGAATTTAATTCAAAACTGAGGTTTGACTGTATTTTATTTAACAGCACTTGATATTTTCATATTCATATTGTTAACCTAAACCTAACTGCACATTCAACCACTCCTCACTGCATTCATGTTACGTTGTGACACACTGCTATAATGCACTTCTTGTATATTGTGCAGTGAAGCATTGTTCAGGATCCCACTTGATATTTCAAAATGCACTAAAAGATAATAGTATGTATTTTTTCATATGCTACAACTTTGCAATTGACAATGTCCTATTTTCATTAGGAATGAAAATTACAATAGCTATCTTCAAAGTGAGTGAAGGGGTCATTTAGCACATGCCTGATAGTCTACACATTGGTAAAAGGTGTACAGTAATTGCCATATTACTTTTCAAATAAATGACTGAGAAGCAACTTTTGTTCCTGTCCTGTATATAACCTCCCATATATTAAAATGAGTCTAGCAAAAAAAAATAAAATTAGTTTTTTCTAGCTTTGTGTCCATTGAGACTTTTGATCAATTATTCAAGAACTATAACAAGATTAAAATTTCAACAAACTTCACCAAAAGCCAAAACCCTTATGGATTGTGTGGAGTCCTATCCATTGGACTATATGATAATGGAGACAACTTATTGAGTCCAACAAGAATCGAGTCCCGTTTCTGTGATGTGATGGTTTATGTGCATCAGCAATAACTGTCAAATTATTCTTCAACATCCATTTGTGTAGATCAAATGTTTCCAACTGATTAGTTTTTAGCAAATTTATATTAAAATCATTTATAATTGATGTTTTCAATTTTTCCATAATCCAAAATATCTTGTAAATATAATTTAAGAATATTGAAATTTGAGTTTTGTATAACATGGAAAGAAAAACATTCTGTACATAAAAGGTTAATACATCAATATCATCATTTACAAAGAAAATAGTTTCTATTTTCTCAATATTTAATTCTGTTAAAAAATAAGTAACAATATCTCCATGCCTTGAATTTTCATGCTTGATACAAAAACAACTATCATAAAGATAGAATGATCAATTGCATAAGTCCAAGACTACAAATGTTAAAATCTGAGAGCTACATACAGTTACATTTGTGTATAATATTCAAAATTTCATTGTGTTTATAATTTATTCTTTGGGAATTTATATCAAATATAAAAAGCCTCTTTGATCAAAGGTTTGAATTCATCAACAACAAAACCTTTTAAGATGCAGTCTCTTTTATTTAAACTTCTAACATTTTCAGTCTACTTTATTGACCTTCTAAGAAAAATGTTAGAAGTTTAAATAAAAAAGACTGCATCTTAAAGGGTTTTTGTTGTTGATTGATTTAAGTGCAGATAAAGAAGAGTTTTCAATTCAATTATGTAATAACATTTCATTCATTTTTGAAAAATTTTACCAATATCTTTCTCTAGAATTATTTTTAAAACAACTATTTTCAGTTTTCTCTATAAAAATTTGACCATTTCTTATCCAAACAAAATGTAATATATCTTCCAATTTGCAATGTCTAGCCCTATAAAATAAATAATAGAAATAGAGTTAAGAACTGATTTAGCCTGTATAGATTCTATCCTGTTCATTAATAATACAACAACTATCTGTGAAAATTTCCTGTTTTTCTTTTCATATTCTTATCAGAATTTTTGCTTACAAGTTGCAGATAATTGCTTAACATAAATAATCAAAAAATTTTCATTGATATTTTTAATTACTTCTATAGGCTGAAACAACACTACTACTAAATTCTGAATCAATATGTTTCATTAATTTATCTAGAACAGTGGTTCCCAATTAGTTTTTCCTGCGTACCACTTTAAGAAAGAGCTCAAACTTGTGTACCTCTTATAGCAGAAATTCATATTAATAAACGCTATTATAAATTCTAAGGTAATTCTGTCTGTCTGTCTCCTTTTCACATCTAAAGCACTGAACAGGTTTTAATAAAATTTGGCACAGAGATAGCTTACATGTTGGAGATGAACATGGGCTACATTTTACTGTGAGAAAATATCTTACTCCCATGAGAAAATTCGATATAATGCAAGCGAAGCTGTGGGTAGACAGCTAGTGATAAATAGAATAAGTTTTTTTTTTACATTTATTACCTTTAAAATACAATTCTAATAATAATGAAAATAACATAAGGTTATTTAATTTTAATGTTACAAATGTGCACAATTTTTTTGCACAACTTTGTAAAATCTGGTTGCTTTTTGATCAGCTTCAGTCTCAAGTCTTCTTCGAGTTGAAGTCAGTTACGATGTTTAGTTTTCATGTTTGTCATGGCCGAAAATCCGCTCTCGCAGAGGTACGTTGTGCAAAATGGTGGTAAATATTTTATTGCCGCTTCGCTGACATGATAATAATGATAATTGTACAAATAACACAAATTGTGTTAATTGTACAATTTTTGTTTCTTGCGTAAGAATTTCATTTAGGTATTGTCACAAATGCATTTTTTAAATGAAATTTCGAGATTATTTTTAGTTATAAATAAACGAATTTGTGCATTCGACATCATGTTGTAAATTGCTGAATTTTTGATGGTCCACCCATTATTTTTTTGATTGCTTCATCTCAAGCATTAAAATTTTAAATCGACTGATTTTAGATTGCCGCGCATACCCCTTTATGCAATTTCGATTACCCCTGGGGTTACGCGTACCACTAATTGGGAACCACTGATCTAGAATATTCTTTATCATCAATAAAGGTACTCCACTGTAAATGCAGAAACTATTCTATCCACAGCACCGGGATGAAAATGACGTCACACTATGGAACCTGTGACTGGTGCTCTGTAGTATATGTTAAAATATCCTGACAAACGTTTTCGAGCGTTCCAATCGCTCTTCTTCAGGTCAACTGAAAGAATTCCCCGGACGGATTCCCTGGGATCGGGTGTCGGTTTCGAGGGGGTGGGTCTCTTCCGGTGTGTGCGGTCGTGCAGCGGGGGGAGGAAGCAGTGGACTGGCGTCCAATAGCGATTGCCAGGCCAGAGACAAGGTTAGTTCCTCTTTCCGGTTAATGCAGGTAGTTAGCCGGTCGGCGTTGTGGATAGCCGCGGCTTCCAGCCATCTAAGCTGCTGTTGGTGGGGCGTGTTGACAATAATGGTAGCCTTCTCGAAGTGCACCTCGACTTCGGGGTCGGATGCATAAGTGGCTAGGGCTGTGGTCAGCCTGCCGTGCCGGATATCCGCTTGGTGTTCACGTAGGCGGGTGCTTAAAGAGCGTTTGGTTGAACCGATGTACAGTAGCCCTGCGTTTTGTCTATTGTCATGGAGCGGGATAGAGTAGATACCGGGGAGTCTGGTGCGATCGGGAGGGTCTTTGTCGTTTCTTAGGATGCGGAAAATCGTGGGGCATCTTCTGTATGCCAGTCGAATCCTGTGCTCTTTGGCTATTCTTCTATGTATAGTCTTGAGGTGCGGGTTGTATGTGATGGGGATCCGTGTCGGGTTATCTCGTTGCGGGTCAGGCGGCGGTCGCTGCGGTTAGGGTGCGTTTCCGGTG